TCTTCATTGGAAGGAAGAATTATTCCTATGTGCAAGAATCCATGTTAGAAATTTGAAGTAGATTCTTGCATAGATTAGCAGAGTGAATCCATGTTTTTCCCCTTGTTTATTTGTCTAGGGTGTTGGACCTCAGGAATATACCCTAGTTAAACTGAAGGTGCTTGAACCGTACCCATCAAAATTAAGGTAGGTTTTCTAAAAATTACTGTTTCGTTATCCTTTTTTCCTTTTTCTCTTTCCTTTTTTCCCCCCTCTTTTCTTGGAGACAGGGTTTTGCTTTGCAGCCTAGTGTTCTTGCACTTGCCTTCTGCGTACTGAGATTGAAGTTGCCACTATGCCTGGCTTGATTTATCATTTCTGAACAATCAGGTAATTATGAGGGAAGCTACATTTTTAATATAAATATGTGCTTTTTCTTCTTAGTGGCCTGAAAGGGAAAAATCTCTTCCTAGTAGCTGCTACCCTTAGACCTGAGACTATGTTTGGACAGACAAACTGTTGGGTTCGGCCTGATATGAAGTACATTGGGTTTGAGACAGCGAATGGTGATATATTCATCTGCACCCAGAGAGCGGCCAGGAATATGTCATACCAAGGCTTCACCAAGCACAATGGAGTGGTGCCTGTTGTGAAGGAATTAATGGGGGAGGTAAGTTGGGGAGCACACTCTGGATTTTCATTGTAAAATTAGAGGAAAGTATTAGCAGTAGAGCTTGGAAAAGCATCAAAAAACTTTGCAATTAGAGTGCACATGGGATAATATATGCAGGGCATCTGTATTTTGCAAGGTACAGAACTGTCAGGGTTCTCCAGAAGGCTCTGCCATGCCGAATCCGCACCCCTTCAAAGGGGCCTCTGCCCTGACATATCCATGATAATTGCTGTTTTTGTTTTTTTTTTCCCCCCAATTTATTTATTACGAATAGAGTGTTAAGCCTGCCTGCCAGAAGAGGGCACCAGATCTCATTGTAGATGGTTGTGAGCCACCATGTGGTTGCTGGGAATTGAACTCAGGACCTCTGGAAGAGCAGCTAGTTCTTTTAACTGCCGAGCCATTTCTCCAGCCCAATAATTGCTATTCTTGAACTTGACCTAATGGAATCATTCTGTATGTCGTCCTGTGTGTCTAGCCAATCCCAAGCAGTCAGGTTGCCTGTTTTTATTTACTGTGTGGTAGTCACTGCATTATCCCTACAATAGAGTTTTAAGTTTTGTTTCAACTCAGCAAGTACTTGGTTGAAAAAAATACACAGTTCTTCTTTGGGTTAATAGGTCTATGAGAATAGCGTTTTTGAAAACATTGCCTTTGTTCCTGAGATTGGAATAAGAGCTGCTTTTCTACCATTTAATAAATATTATCTTTGGTTTCTTGATAATTAAGCTGTAAAAGAAAAATATGACAGACTACTGTCTCCCTTTCAGTTGAATTTTTATTTATTATTTATGTTGTAATTTTTTTTTTTTTTGAGATTGGGTCTTATGTAGCCCAGGCTAGCCTTAAGGTTGTTACATAGCCAAGGATGACCTTAAACTTCTGATCTTCCTGCTTCTGCCTTCTGAGGGTTGGGTTACATGCGTGTCATGACACATATGTTGCTGGGGATTGAACCCCGGGCTTTGTACATGCTGGGCAAGCACTGTACCAAGTGAGTTACAGCTCTAGCCATTTTGTTCTTCTAAGACGTCTTACTCTGTAGCCTATCCTGGCCTTGAACTTGTGGCAGTTCTGCTTTTCAGCCTTCTAAGTCTGGAATTATAGCCACTATGCTCACCTAATGTCTTGTGAACTTTTACAGGATTCAAAAGTCAAAAGACACAGAAAGATAAAAATGATAGCTCTCAGGGCAGGGGTGTAATTAGTAGAGAGCTTGCTGGTGTTGTGAGGCCCTGATGTTGGTCCCCAGTACCACAGGGGAAGCAGATATCCATGTTCATACATTTTCCTTTCCAGATGTAGTGTCCTGTGTGTTCTTCCAGAAATATTTTCATGGTTTAACAACACATATGTTATAGGCAAATGCATATGGATATTGTGCTGTATCTTGCTTTCTGTTTTACCTTACTGTGTCTTGCCAGTCACTACCAAAATAGCTTCCTTGTTATTGGTTATAACTACACAAATTTTCACTGTTTGGCTCTATAATAATTAATAGAAATCTGAATGATCTGAATGGTTTGTCTTTTATTCTAGAAGCAGGTTTTTTTTTTTTTTTTTGAGACAGGGTTTCTCTGTGTAGCTTTGGTACCTGTCCTGGATCTCACTCTGTAGACCAGGCTGATCTTGAACTCACAGAGATCCTCCTGACTCTCTGCCTCCTGAGTGCTGGGATTAAAGGTGGGTGCCATTACCACCCAGCTACTTTTTATATATTTTATTTTGTGTACTTGGTGGAGAAATTATGCACATTTATGGTGAGCAACATGATGTTTTGAAATATGTATTCATGTTAGAATGGCTAAGTAAAGCTAATTAAGAAGCAGTACCTCAGATTTCCCACATCTGATGTGAGAACATTTCAAATCATTGTGATTTTCGACTGTGTAACACCATGTCATTAACTGCAGCAACTGCCTTGTGCAGATACAGCTCTCAGGAGTTTATTCCTGTATAGTTTTCAATAGTAGCCTCTGGACCTTAAAATTTAATATTTATTTTAACGTTTTGTCACTGCAGCTACCTGTATTTCTTCACCTTTTTGCTCCTCTTTTACAGGAAATCCTTGGTGCTTCACTTTCTGCACCCCTGACATGCTATAAGGTGGTCTACGTTCTCCCTATGCTCACCATTAAGGAGGACAAAGGTACAGACTTTGCTATTAGAATGCTTTGCTAACCACATTCTGGTTGTATTAGTTAGTTATTTTATTCTTTCTTCTATAAGGCACTGGTGTGGTCACGAGCGTTCCTTCTGATTCCCCGGATGATCTTGCAGCGCTCAGAGACTTGAAGAAAAAGCAAGCAAGTATCTGTTTCAAGTCCCTGTTTTATTCTTTCTTACTTTTTTTTTTTTTGCAAGACAAGTTTCTTGGAACTCCCTTTGTAGACCAGGTTGGCCTTGAACTCACAGAGATCCACCTGCCTCTGCTGGGATTTAAAGGCATATGCTACCACTACTAGCCCATATCCTTGTTTTAAATTCAGCATAATGTTAGTGGACACTACTGAGCAGCTGTGAGACAAGGCTGAGGGCATACATGTTTGTGTCTGAACTATTTACTCTCTCTAACCTGGTTTTCAGTATTTGTATGTTTCTGTGGTTGGAATTTTAAATACAATTCTGTGACACATTTGAAAAGGTTGTGTGTGTGTTAACTCTGTGCACCGCCACACAGGTCGGAGCAGCACATTTGGTGTCCTGCTTTACCACTCTCCTCCTCACTCTTGTGACAGTCTCTCATGGGACTTAGAGCTAGGTTGGTAGCCACATGTCCCAGGGATCCCCCTGTCTCTATTTGGTGTAGTGCTGGGGTTTTAGTATGCCTGGCTTCTCACATAGGTGCTGGGGATTTGAACTCCGGTCCTCAGGCTGTGTAAGTCCTCTCACCCACTGATTCATTCTCCCAGCCCCAGAAAAACTTTATATTCATATTTCATTACAGGCGGGAATGTTACCCTTACCTGGGGTGACATCTAGATGTCTGTGTGTACTGTTGCATTTGACTGCAGTTCCTACAGGCATTTCCAACCTGTGGCCTGTGTGATTCCATGTGTCACAGGATAGCTTTGGATGAGGCTCAATGAAAAATCATAAACTTATTGAAAACACAAGGTTTTGTTTGTAAGTTGGTTGCATAGCTCTTAATCGGGAACTGTATAGATGACAAGTTTTGTCACAACGGCAAAATATTGAATATACCTGAAGGCCACTCACATTAAAGTAAACTGTTGAGTTTTAAAAGATCACAGATCCCTTATTGAAATATTTGATAATGTTAAAAATGTTCTGTATGGAGAGAACAAATAATGGAATAAAAGTTTGAAGCCAGGGGAGAGGGAGGCTGAGGCAGGAAATGTAAGGCCAGCATAGGCTACTGTAGTAAAGCCTTGCCTCAGGAAAGAAAAAATGAGTTTGCTTTCTCACTGATTGTATCAGTAACAAAATTGAGCATTAATGTTAGCTTACGAATTTTCCGTAGGCATTCCGAGCAAAATACGGAATTAGAGATGACATGGTCCTGCCGTTTGAGCCGGTGAGTATGTGAATGTTCACAGGCTTCACACATCTTTATCAGAGGCGAAAAGACACTTACATGTTTTTCTTATAACAAAAATAAATAATTGGTAGAGTTTAAAAATAAGAGAGGGAATAATTTTCTTACTTTAATTTGATAATTTACTGTTGTAAATAACAGCAAAAGAAAAATTAACAATACGCATTTTCTTTCCACCTGGCACCTGCAGTCTGGGAACAGCCTTTAATCCTCCTTGGTTTTGTACTAATTTGTCAACATCGTACCGTACTTAACTCAGGAATATTTAGTTTGTAGCCTTGCAGTGCTGCTTAATGTTCCTTGTTTTCATGTAGTATCTGCAGAAGAAAAGTCAGAACAGTACTAGTAAATGACTCTCATGAAGAGTGTAGGAGAGTGAGTGTGGGCATGCTCAGTGCCCTAGGTGTGATCCTTAGCACTGGGGGAAAAGTCTCCCAAAAGTTTGACATAAACTTGAAACGATCCACAACAATAGTTGACATTGCTTTGCTTCTTGCAGCCTTAGTTATTCAGTGACCTGTGTGTCGGGGTGAGAGCCGGGGTGGCATGTGGTGTTCCCGTGGTAAGGGAGTGCACACATTCCCATCTTCAGGTCGGTGGTCTGTGAGCACCGAGTGTATGTCCCTGCCCGGTGGTGGTAAGAGCCAAGGTGGCTTTACCGGGCAAAGGGACCATGTCCACACGGCTGATTTGTGTCTGCCTTTCAGCGTGAATCCACTTCTGGTGTTACTGTTCTCTGTAGGTGCCGGTCCTTGAAATCCCAGGGATTGGAACTCTGCCTGCTGTGACCCTTTGTGATGAGCTGAAAATTCAGAGCCAGAATGACCGTGAAAAACTTGCAGAAGCAAAGGAGAAATTGTATTTAAGAGGATTTTATGATGGCGTAAGTCATAATTTTTATTGTTTTTATTTGTAGCTATATGCTCTGGTGTTCCTGTTAATAATTTTAACTTAAAAAAATAAGAAAAAGAAAAATTCAATGTAGTTTTTGATTTGAAAAAGAGAAATACGTTTTATTCTAAATTTCCAATTTTTATCATGTCATTTCTAGAAACATTTTTAGAATTATATATTTTTTTTGGTGTGCTCTAGAATCTCTAAGAATTTCTTGAGATATTTAAAAATCAGTTCCTGTTATTAAATACAACTTTAAAGGTTGGCTGCATCAAGAATTCCTTTTCCAGGGCTGGGGAGATGGCTTGGCAGTTAAGTGCACTTACTGCTTTTACAGAGGACAGGGGTTTGATTCCTAGCACCCACGTGGTAGCCCACAACCGACTGTAACACCAGTGTAACCCCAGGGGATCCGAAAGGCATGCAGGTATTGCACATAAAGTAAATAAATACATCTTTAAAATTTTAGAAAAAGAATGTTTTTTTGTCTTGTTTTTGTTTGTTTTGTTTTTTTGAGACAGGGTTTCTCTGTGTAGCTTTGAGCCTTTCCTGGATCTCGCTCTGTAGACCAGGCTGGCCTCGAACTCACAGAGATCCGCCTGCCTCTTCCTCCCGAGAGCTGGGATTAAAGGCGTGCACCACCACCACCCGGCGAAGTGAATGGTTTTAAGGACACCATTGAGAGTGTTCTTTTAATTTTGTATTTCCCCTTTCCTAGATAAACAAAAACTAGTTTAATCTCTTTCTTTCTTTCTTTTTTTTTTTTTAAGTGAATTGTGTATTGTCTTTGTCACTGTTCTATTGCTGTGAAGAAACACCATGACCAAGGCAACTCTTTTTTGTTTTTAATTAAGAAATTTTTTTTAATTCATTTTATATATCAATCATGGATCCCCCTCTTCCCTCCTCTCGCCCCTCCAGTCCTCCCCCCACTGAACCCACCCTCCATTCCCTCTTACAACAAGGTAAGGCCTCCCATGGGGAGTCAGCAGAGCCTCATACACTTAGTAGAGGCAGGTCCAAGCCCCTCTTAGACCTGCCTTAAGGCTGTGCAAGGTGTCCTACCATAGGTAGTGGGCTCCAAAATGCCAGTTCATGCACCAGGGATGGACCTTGATCCTAATGCCAAGACAACTCTTATAAAAGAAAGAATTTAAATGAGGCTTGCTTACAGTTTCAGAGGTTTAGTCCATTATCATCATGGTGGGGAGCATGGTGGCATGCAGGGAGACATGGTGTTGGAGAAGTAGCTGAGACCTACATCCTGATTTGCTGGCTGAGAAACATTGGGCTTGGCTTGGGCTATTGAAACCTCAAAGCCCACCAGTGACACATTTCCTCCAACAAGGCCACACCTCCTAGTCCTTTTCAAGTTGTGCTGAAGCATTCAAATATATGAGCCTGTGGGGGTCATTCTTTGTCAAACCATGACAGTATTTTGAATGATAATAAGAGCCAATACTTCAATATATTAACTTAAAAGGAAAGATAATTTTATTTCTATATTGATTTACTATATGTATGTGTGTTATGCCTGTATGTATACATGTATGTGTACCACATATGCTCCTGGTGCCCATGGAGACCAGATCTCTGGAAACTGGAGTTACAGATGCCCGTGAGCCACCATGTGGGTTCTGGGAACTGAACCCAGATCCTCTGTAAGAGCAACAAGTGCTCTTACCTGCTGAGCCATCTGTCCAGATCCATTACTAACTAACTTAATTCATAAAATCATGCTGCAAAGTGGGCAGTATCATCTCCACTAACAGGGAAGGAAATTGAAGCACAAAGAGGCTACGTGTTTTACTCAAGCCCAGCCAGGTAGCTTGTGGCAGAATGGGGACTCAGAGTTGACAGCTTTGCTCCATGATCTGGTCCTGCACAGTGATGATCATGACTCTAACTTCATAGTTATAGAGAATGAAGCATCAATATGTTAGAAACTTGAAGAGCAAAAGCGGTGTGTGTTTTTCCACCTAAAATGGGAACTACTTGTTAGTGGCACAGAGTCAGACATACAAAAAAACTTGACCTTTTTACCCAAGGCAGCTTTATAAGGCCTGTGGCCTAATCTGTGGGAACAAAGGGTGAGTTAATTCTTTGCCCACTAAGTAAGAAGTTGGAGGACATTAGGCCTATAGCAGGACTGTAATGGTCAGGGTTGGAAAGAGATGCCTGAGTGGAATATACTTGGTTACCTCTAAAACCACCAGGAATGATTATAGTATAGAACAGTGGTTCTCAGCCTTCCCAATGCTGCGACCCTTTAATATAGTCCGTGTTATGGTGAACCCCAACCATAAAATTATTTAGTTGCTACTTCATAACTGTAATTTTGCTACTGTTATAGATTGTAATGTAAATATTTGATATGTGACCCTTATGGGGTCACAACCCACAGGTTGAGAACCACTGGTATAAATGATTCATCTCCATGTGGAAGCTTGAGCATGGAAGTGAGTGTATCTTTCTAGACATTAGCTACAGCTACGGAAAGACAACTGTACTAGACCCAGTTACACTTACAGAAATAAGTATATGAATATCAGTTGTGTCAGCTGTATTAAAATAAAGTTATAAATGGGATAACTGTTACTCTAAACATTTTTTTTGGTTTGGTCTGTTAAGTAAATTTAGCTAGGGAAACTTGAAGCAAATTTTAATTGTTCTATATGTTTCCTCTCTCATCCTTGTAGGTAATGTTGGTGGATGGATTTAAAGGACAGAAGATCCAAAACGTAAAGAAGACTATTCAGAAAAACATGATTGACTCTGTATGTGGTAGCCTGTCCTCTGGGGGCTGTTTGGGAAGAGCACTTAACTAATTAATAGACCTACGAGTATTTTTAGCAGTGCGTTTTATAGTGGAACCTAACACTGTATAAAGAAGATAGCATAGCTTTAAGGCAGGAACTAGGCCTGTTTGCAGTTCATTTAACTCACATGTCCTGTAATAGGGATGAGGTTGTGCCCTAAGGCTGACATGTGCCACATGTGGGTGTGTGCCTGTCATCTCAGCATTTAGGAGGCAGAAGCAGGGAGATCTCAACTTCATGGCTAGCCTGGGCTATGCAGACCGTGTCTTCAACACACCCTCTCCCCCACAACAAGAAGTCAAACCTAAACAAAACCAAAGCTGATGTGCTGAGCACAACCAGAGGACTCTGGCGACGTCTCTGACCATGGCCTTGTACAGTGGTTGCATCCTTTCTCTGTGCTGCTTTGCTTTTTACCTCTGTATTTTTTTTCTTCACTTCCTTTTTCCTTCTTTGATAGAACTTTGCTTAGCTACTTCTTAAAGTTTTGATTTTGACAATCATTCTGACCCACGATATAGACAGTGGTCTTTATGTTTACTGAATTCAAAAGCAAAGCTGAGTGTGTTGATTCATGTCTGTAACCAGGAGGCAGAGGCTCGAGAAACATGAGTGTGCCATTAGCCAAGATGCTGGTTCCAAAAAGAAACAGGCTGGGAAAGACTTGCATGATGGTGCATACCATTGTACAGCAATGGGGCGGTGGAACCAGGCACACTCCTGGGGGTCACTCACTAGCCTGCTTAGTGAATTCCAGGCCAGTGAGAGACCCTGTCTCAAAAGGAAAAACAAAAGATAGATGGCACCTAAAGAATGATATCTGACTTCTACATGCACACAAACATACACATATGTGCACACACGCATGCAATAGCAACAGAAAGCAGCCATTTACTCTGTCCTTTCACATTCTTTTTAATTTCTCTTTGGAGAGGACAGCTTTCAACTGTGTTGCTTATTTTAATACTGATCTCCATCTGTCATACCTCTATGTTTCTGTCTCTACTTATCTTTGTAGAGTCAGTCCATCTCTCCATCTTTTTATTGTCAGTTGGAATTGGAATTTTAGATGGAGTTAAATGTTTATTTCTGATCCACTGTTTACAAACCAAAAGCATAGCTTTTTAATTTAGATTGAAGAACTGCATTGGAAGTAGAGAGCAGTGAGTCATTTTTTGAATGATAATATTGGATTTTAATTTTAAAAATTATCCTAGCTTGCCAGATGGTAGTGGCGCATGCCTTTAATCTCAGCACTTGGGAGGCAGAGGCAGGTGGACCTCTCTGAGTTTTGAGACCAGCCTGGGCTACAGAACTAGTTCCAGAACAGCCAGTGCTACACAAACCCTGTTTCAAAAAATTAAAAGAAAAAAAAATTCCTAACTTAAAGAGTTTGGCTCTACAATATACTAAGAGGTATTTATATCTAGTTAAAGAATAAAATGAGATTTGAGCCTACATGGTGTTGCATACCTAACTCAGTACTTGGTAGGTAGAGGCAGGAGAATCAGAAGTTCAAGATCATCCTCTGCAACATAGCAGGTTTGAGTTTAGCTTGGGCTAAAAGAAAACTTGCCTCAAAAAATCAAAAGTAAATAATTTGTGTTCAGTTTTCTATTTGAAACTGAATTTTTTATGACTCTAAATCTTATGATAAGATTTTTCATGTTTATATATTTTTCTCTTAAAAACAGTGGTATTATGTATTTAGTTTTTAAATTTTTCTTTATTTTTTTTCCCACGTGGAAAGTTTTTTTATTAAAGGGGAGGGAAGAGAGAGGAGGGAGAGAGAGAGAAAGAGGGAAAGAGAGAAAGCAAAGGTGCGTGCAGCCTCGTGGAAAGAGAGAGAGGAAGAGAGAAAGGAAGGAGCTTTTCTTTGTATTTTTATAACAAAGATAAGAAGCGTCATAAGAAGCCCCACCTGTCAAATCCTAAGATTAGAAAGTGCTGAAATGATGAGCAGCCTGTAAGGTGGTCCACTTGATGAAGTGTTTCAGAAGCAGGCATTGCACAGAAAAGCAGACCTTGTCAAGCCTGGGGAGGGGAAGGCTTCTGTCCCTGAAGAATAAGGGCTGAACTGGATGTGACATCTGCCATGTCTTTATTTACCTTCATTTAGGGGGATGCACTTATCTACATGGAACCAGAAAAACAAGTGATGTCGAGGTCTTCAGATGAATGTGTCGTGGCCCTGTGTGACCAGTGGTTAGTCCCTCTTATGACAAGAAGATTCCGTCAGTCACTGTGGTCATTTCTGACAGTAAGAAAAGTTTCATTTGTTCCCTCCCAGGTACTTGGACTATGGAGACGAGAGCTGGAAGAAAGAGACATTTCAGTGTTTGAAGAACATGGAAACGTAAGATGGGAGAAAGTGAGAGGGGCGTGGGAGTGAGAAATGTGGAGGCTGATCAAAGAAAAAACACGCTTTGGCCTTTGTTCTTAGGTACTGCGAGGAGAGCAGGAAGAATTTTGAGGCTTCTTTAGACTGGCTGCAAGAACATGCTTGCTCAAGAACGTACGGCTTAGGTGAGCAGACTTCCCGCACTTGGGATCGGATGGTTTTGTTAGATAGAGAATGCACTTTTCACCTTCCCTCCCCCTTTCTTCTGGTGTTTGCTACCTTGGAAGTGACAGGTTTTGGTTAGAGGACGAGAAAAACTAGGATGTGGCTCTCTGTAATCTACCTAATGCTAGGTATGTCCTGTCCAACCCGCATGCCTTTGATAGTATGATCTGCTTGTTAGATGTACTTACCCTGTGTATGTGAGTATGGTGTGTGTATATGGCCTAGGCACATTTGTGAGCAGAACGTGTTTGCCTGGGTGGAGGCCAGTGGAGTAGGTCTGGTGTCCCATTCTGTCACTTTCTGGAGCTAGGCTTGCAGGCAGCAAGCCCCAGTGGTTTCTCCCATAGTGCCAGGGCCAAGGGATTCAGGATTTTACGTGGTGTTGGGATCCAAATTCTGGTTTTTATGTGTGGGCAGGTAAGTTCTTACTTATAGAACCCTCTCTCTAGCCCATGGCATTTTTATTAAAGGACTCCAGAGGTTCACCCATTTTTTATTTTTTATCTGTTTTATCTTTACAAATTATTAAAGTAGAATTTTTGCTTCTTAGGGTTGGGGATGTAGTGCAGTGGTAGAGTGCTGACCTATGTGCAGGCCCCGGGCACAGTTCCTACCACCACAAACAAAACAATAGCAATAACCCACACTCCGAACAGCAGCAGAACTTCCTAGATAGTAGCGTTGAAGATGGGCCTCCTTCCGGTGGGCGTCTCTTAGCTTCATTCATCATTGTTTTTTCCTTTCTGTGTTGCAGGCACTCGTCTGCCTTGGGATGAGCAGTGGTTGATTGAGTCACTGTCAGATTCCACTATTTACATGGCATTTTACACAGTAGCACACCTGTTGCAGGGGAATGACCTGCGAGGGCAGGCAGAGTCTCCACTGGGCATCAGGTTGGTACATAGTTAAGGAAAAGAACTATGCACATGGTCAGTTGCACATACGGTGACATTTTGATTTACATATTTAGAAGTTGATTCTTTCATATTTATTTTTCTCAATTTGGCTAGCAAGAGGCATTTGCTTTTAATCCCAGCACTCAGGAGGCAGAGGTAGGCCATTCTCTGTGAGTTGAAGGCCAGCTTGGTGTGCATAGTGGACAGCCAGGGCTACATGGTGCGATCCTGTCTTTCTTGGGGGGAGTTAGCAGTATTTTGTGATGTTTCGCTTTTGTACTGTGCAACTGATAAAGGTGGTTAAGTAGCCCGTCCTGTGCATTCATCCCTTTTCGATTCACAGGGGAGTGGTTTGTCCCTGTTTGATACTGTAACTAATTAAAACTTCAATTCATGAGTAGGTGAAAATTCTGATTCTTTCAAAATAATCGTTCATTTGTTTGCTTTATTTCAATGCAGACCCCAGCAGATGACTAAGGAAGTTTGGGATTATGTGTTCTTCAAGGATGCTCCATTTCCTAAGACTCAAATTCCAAAGGAAAAACTGGATCAGCTGAAGCAGGAGTTTGAGTTCTGGTATCCAGTGGACCTTCGAGCCTCTGGCAAAGATCTGATTCCAAATCATCTTTCATATTACATTTACAACCATGTGGCCATGTGGCCGGAACAAAGGTGAACACTCAAGTCTGGGTGGGATGTGTTTTTTGATGGTCAGTAAGGCACCTTAAGACTTCAAGTATCTTAAGGAATGGCTATGGAGGGTTTTGCTGGATTTGTCACAGTATGCCTTAAGTGGAATGTGCACTTCTTTCTGACCTGACAGCCCACAGAGTGTTTTTTATTTCAGGTTCTCAAGGGATAGTGATCTGTTTGTTGCAGGAATGCAGCAATTTTAAGACAAGTTGGAGAGTTCATAATGCAGTGTATAAAGATAAAAGGCTGCTCGTGCCCTCTCACCCACCTTTGTGCTTACTCTACTCTGCTGTAGCCGTGGCTGTCCTGGAACTCTCTCTGTAGACCAGGCTGGCCTGAACTCACAGAGGTCCTCCTGCCTCTGCCTCCCAAATGCTGGGATCAAAGGTGTATGCCACCATCACCTGCCTGTTTTCTGGTTTCTTTTGGAACAAATGTTTATGCGTATTCTGGGAATTAGCTATATTTGTATTCATGCAAAGGTAACCACAGTATATAGCATATTTTCAAGATCTTCCTGTGTTCATACCTGAGCCTTGCCTATGGTTTCAAAACAGTTGCTCTGTTTTTGTCTTCATAACTCAAAGAGCTAGTTCTTTGGTTCTTTTTTTTTTTTTAGTTTTTTGAGACAAGGTTTCTCTGTGTAGTTTTGGTGCATGTCCTCCATCTCACTCTGTAGCCCAGGCTGGCCTCGAACTCACAGAGATCTGCCTGGCTCTCCCTCTTGAGTTAAAGGTGGGATTAAAGGCGTGCGCCACCACTGCCCAGCCTAGTCCTTTGGTTCTTTTCAGTTACTTCCTGTTGGCAACAGGAGCGCAGCACAGGGAGCACTTCTGTGAGATGAGCCAAGCCCTGGTTTTGAGCCCTAGAACGTCAAAGCAGAAGCCACCCACAGTTGCAGTGCCTTGGCCTTGTCTCAACAGTCTGCTCATTGTTAACATTCACCTCAGGGTATCATGGGGAACTGTAATCCTGTTTTACTTTTTGTTCTCTGTCTTGCACCGTGTGCCTGTGAAGTGACAAGTGGCCCGTGGCTGTGCGAGCAAATGGACACCTGCTGCTCAACTCAGAGAAGGTGAGGCTCTGGGCAAGGCTTTCAGCTGAGGACAGAAGTAAACAGCGATATGAATTAGAGTAAACGCTTTAGGACTAATAGCATAAACTCTGATTTCATCTTCTGAGTAAGCAGGACAGGTTTGTTATGGTATTGGCACTCACTGGAGGAGAGCATTGAAGAAAGGAGGGGGGACAGGAAGCATAGATAGAGATCTTAGCATTGTGACCCATCTGCTGCCTCTCACCTCGTGCAGAGAATGCCTGTTGCTCCTTGTTTGCTGCTGTGACTTACTGCTCTTGAGGAACAAGAACATTGGGAGCTCTAGGGGTTTTCATGTATCATGTAATGCTGTTCCCGCATACACTGCTCTCCCAACACCCTTAGGAATATTGTCCCTTCTGCTGGCTCTGTAGGATTTATCTCACTAAGTCAGCTATGCAGTCTCCCTACTTATCCCTCTAATGCCTGCTCAACAGAAACCACACACACACAAACCTTCAAAAGTGACTGCATTTACTTCCAAATTAATAAGTTAGGTTCATTGGCTAACCAATCAGTGTTGGTGTAATCAATAGAACAGTAATGGCAGGCAGGGCTGCTGTTCTGAGTGTTACAGCAGGAACTGGAGGACTGCTCAGACCTCGAAGCTCCTAGTACCCCTGTCACTACAGCTCCAAGGAGCTCATGCTCTCTTCTGGACTCTGGGCATGTGCATGTTCACACACATCCATATCCTCACATAGACATAAATAAATACAAATGAAAACCAGTCTTTAGAAGTGTTACAATGGAAATAGACACAGATTTGAACAAACAGCAGATGGTATAAATTACAGTATACGGTGTCAGATAGAGGCAGTACCCAGAAGCGAAAGGTGAATGTTAGAAGTTCTTCTCCTTGGGTGGGTGTAGTGGTGCCCACCTTTCATCTTAGCACTCTCTATGAGCTCTGCCTGCAAGGGCTACATGGTTAGACCCTATTGGAATACAGCATTTTCTTGGTCTGCTGTGAATGCTGCTCTCTAAGTGCTGCTGAAGGTCACGAAAGCCTCACTCTACCCTCGTGAGGGAACCTATTCTGTTTCTAATGACTCCAGGTCAACAAGGCTCTCCCCTGTAGAAGCAGCCAGTGTCCCCTAGTATAGTTGAGTCAGTTCTGTGACCCAGCCTTAAGGAGGTCACAGGGAGGCCCTGTCCTAAGTGTTGATGACTGGGAACCCACGCAGATCCTTAATGGCCTCAGCTTCAGTGCTTGCCTCTCGGTCATGTCACCTCCTTGTCCTTCTCATTCAGATGCTTTGGTTCTTTGACTCCTCACCACCAGTCTGATTAACTGGATTTGGATTGTCTTATTTGTGTATATTCTTTTTTTCAAGGCAGGGTTTCTCTGTGTAGACCCAGTTGTCTGGGAACTCACTCTGTAGACCAGGCTGACCTCAAACTCATAGAGATCCATCTGTCCTTGCCTCCTGAGAGCTGTGATTAAAGGCATGCGCCACCACCACCCTGCTCATTTATATATATCCTTATTAATGCCTGATCACTGCTTTCTTTTTCAGATGTCAAAATCTACGGGCAATTTCCTCACTTTGAGCCAAGCTGTTGACAAATTTTCAGCTGATGGTGAGTACATGTTTTTTATCCTTGCTGTTACTCAGATAGGGCTGCAGAAGATAGGTTCTTTTGCTATTAACAGAAATTTAAATACTCATGTTTTCTTTGTGGATAAGCAGCACAGTATATAAGTTAAAACAGGAGTATTGATGATATAATCTATTAAAAAAACTCAATGTTTATAAAGATGTTTATTTTTTGTGCATCTATGTATGATGCATGTGTGAGTGAGCATGCTCATACTGTGGTGCATCTGTGTAGATCAGATGACAGCTTTGTTTTCTCACAGCATTGTCTTCAACGAACAGATGACAGCTTTTTAGAGCTGATTTTTCTCTCTACCTTGCTTTGAGGCAGGGTCTCTTGTTTCTCTGTGTGCTTCAGACTAGCTGTCCAACAAACTCGGGGTGATTCTCCTGTCTCTCCCTTTCGTCTCACTGTAGTGATTCTGGGATTACAGATGTGTGCCATCACATTTGGCTTTTTTATGTGTGTTCTGGGGATTTTGGGGTCATCAGGCATGACAGGCATTTACCATGGAACCATCTTGACAGCTCTACAGTTTTTTTGTAATGTTTTTATTTTTTAAAATGAAAATACAGTTACATCATTTTCCCTTTCCACGCCTCCCTCTGACCCTTCCCATGTGCACCCTCACCCCTCCTCTGTCTCACACTCATGACCTTTCTTTCCTTTAGTTGTTGTTACATACATATTTCTTTTGTTTTTCAAGTCGGGGTTTCTCTGTGTAACAGCCCTGGCTGTCCTGGATCTCACTCTGTAGACCAAACTGTCCTTGAACTCACAGAGATCCACCTGCCTCTGACTCCCAAGTGCTGGTATTAAAGGTGTGCACTACTACTGCCTGTCCATATTTCTTAATATATAGATATACCCTGCTTAGTCTGTGTGATGTTACTTTATGTATTTGATTTCAGGGTTGGCTACTTGGCATTAGATGACCAATGGGGGTGGTGTGTGTGTGGGGTCTTCCCTGGCCTAGAATATTTGTTTGTTTGGGACAACGTCCCTCAATGTATCCTGCTGTGTGACAAAACGTTTTCTGGGGAGATTCAGCACACACACATCTGCTCACTCTAGATAGGGATTCCATAACAAACCAAGATGTGGATACCTTCCATATTCCAAAATATGGAAACTAGATTTTGGTGACCCAATGAGTTTATTGGTATTACTTACAGGAGCAGAAATGACTCAAAGACAGCTCTATCACCAAAGCCCACCCCAGCATATGTGGCAGCTTACAAAGCTGGGAACCTGGAGCACAGTACACAGCCTGCACAACTCAGCAGGTTGGAGAATGTTCTTCCCAAGTGCCTCAGTTGGCCTAAACCTCATCTAGGCAGCTGATCTGGTCTCAGAGTCATCTTTGCAACTTTTCTCCTATGAGAATCTTCTTTGCAGCTCGGCTTCAGTTTGTCTAATTGACTCTCAGCTTTTATTGTTTTCTCTGGCAGGGAGGGGCCTAGTGGAATCTGGTTAGTTTCAGGGACTTCCTGAAGGTATTTTGAGTTGTTCCCTTTCCTGTGTAAAGAGCTTCTCTAGGATAGAATGTTTCAATCTCACAAGAAACTGTTAAACAACACTCCACAGCCTCCTTCAGTTCTTGCATCCTTTCTGCCCCCTTTTGCAATGATCCCTGAGCCTTGAAGGAGGTGACTACAGGTGTCCACCTATGGTTAAGAAATAGGCTACACGTCACAGTAGCAGTCACTTGTTCTCAAAAGCTTCACCAGTGGTTATGAGTTGAGGCTGATAACGGTGATCTGTGGGTGTTTAGAAGGCAGTTTGACAGGCATACGACCCCCATCAAATAAAACTATAGAAGTTGCTTCCCCATTGGGGCTTCTGATCTTCCAAGCCACAGGTTTTGTCCTGGCTTACAGTACCAGATGTGAATTTCCTTTTTTAGAGCAGATCTTAAATCCAATTGGAAGGCTGTTGGCCTTATCCATGATAGCTGAGCAACTTGCACAAACAGGTACATCTTGCTGGCATATTGATATTTTAGCATACGTGGGTCCATAGCCAAACAAGAATGTTGGTGACAGTTCTTCACCAGCAGCCTACATAGCGCCCTCATAGGCTATCATAGCCAGTCAGCAGGGTGGGAGTTTCTAGTTCAGTCCTGGCTAATTTCTCCATGTCCCACAGTCAAAGAATGTACATGTAGTGCCTTTGGCAATAACATCTTACAGTCTAGTCTTGGCATACAACCAACAGAAATAGCAATAGCTTTTATGATTTGTGGGGCCTGAGGGGCTTTCCTGGCCAACAACTCACAGGAAAGTATCCCACTCTTAGTACTGGGATTTTCATTCAGTAACCTTATGGCCCCTGGGAGTGTCCTTTTTCACCCATGTAGGATCCTTTTGGAATTTTTTGTTTTGTTTTATTTCAATTAACCCAGCCCCAGTAGGCTTGCAGAGTAGTGAGAAGTACCATTATGCCTGGTTGTCTTTCTAATGGCTTTCCAAATCTGCAAAACCCTAGAGGTTAGCATTGTGTCATCTATATAACAAAACGTTGGGAGGGACAAGGCAACATCCCGAGCCACCATTCCATGACAAATAGTGGGGCTAAAAGATAACCCTGGTGAAGTACTCTGAAAGTCTGTTGTCACCTGTTCTCAGCAAGTGTCAGGTGACCCCATAGGCTCACAGCTAAGAAGATACTAAAGTCAAACATAAGCAAGGTCTTAATACAGCACAGAAAGGCTCCATCCATTTGTATCAGTTGCTTCTTCCACACATCAAGGTTGGGTAGAAAGCTTAGATAGGAGAGACTAATTAGCTCCTTCTGAGCCATTATGTTTCCATAGCCTGGAGCTCATCCATGGAGTCTTCCTACAGTTCTCCAAACCTGATAAACTTAGTGGGCCTGACGTAATCTGCTCAGACGCAGGGCCAACAAGTGTGACCCTGCTTTTCCCTGTGTACCTGCTACCTCCCTTGGTGTGAGTGGCCCTGGGTGGGCACAGTGGCTTGTAGCCTCCCTGTTTCCACACTTGGCTCTTAGAGGAGTTTCATGACTAGGCAGACCATCTCTACTCCTAGCATAAGCTTTTGCTGGAGGGAAATGAGCCTTCCCTCGTCTGGGAGAATAATTCTCCACCCTGGGACAGGCTTGATCATCTTCTCTGGTGGTGTTCCATCGTGGATGTCTTCTGTGGACTGCCCTCAGGCTTTAAAGCCTCTGAGAAGCTCGTTAGCACACAATTTGGCTTCCTGTCAGCTTTCTTCTTAGGAACTTCAGCTCAACACACACCTTGCCACATTTGTCTCTGAGTAACCCAGACAGACCCCTTCCTTCTGTTTTGCATTTTCCTTATTTCCTCTAGCTTGTTCTTTTCCTTTACGGACACTTTTCACATGCTGGTCTAAGTCGGGGAGCCACCAGAGCCTTTCCTACTTTATGAAGATCTTGTTCCACCAAAGAACTGAGCAAAACCGCTAAAGCTCCACACCATCCTTGAGGTCCTTGCTGGGTCAGCCTTTTCTCTAA